TCACTGGTCCTCTTGTGGAGGTTTAAGTGACATCAGAAATGGCAACGCTATACTGAGAGCCCTTGGAAAAAGGAAAATATTGTCTCTCTACAGCCAGGGCTCTTCTGTGCTCCTTTTCTGCCTCTGTAAGCAGCCTGAGCACCAGGGGAGAGATTGCTTTTGAAAATCTGCCCCATATAATTTATTTTGTGGGCATCTAAGAGAACAGCCCTTTCTTTACAAAAACACAGTAAAGAGAAAGAGGCTTCTGCAGTCCCAATTGGAAAGTTATGTCTGGCCTCAGAAAGCCCGGATGGCTGGGTCAGCTCAAGTACTCTCTTCACGTATGGCAGATGGAGAGACATTGGGTTGCTTTGCTTTTTCTATGGAATTAGGGAATCTATTGAAATTCTAGAGCACCCTTCCTTTTGTTTGTTACCAAGTCACATGGTTCTGTCTTTAATGTCCTATTTTTCTTTCTTTTTTTTTAATTTCTTTTTCTGGGGGACAAAAATTGGCCACTTAAATTAAGTTCTTTTTTCATCAGTAAAGAGGTTTCTCAGAGCCAGAAATCACTCAAAAACAGGTCTGTTGACCCTACTCATGGAAAAGCCCAGAGATTCCTCTGAGGACTTTTTGCCAAACTTCCTGATTCCGGGACTAGATTTCTTGGTTTCGCATTGTTAGGTGCTGAATATATTTTGCAATCCTTTTGTTCTCTTCCTCAGGACTTCTATTACCCTGGTCTTCAACTCATTACTAAATTAAAGAATTCTTTCAGAAGATTTTTTTAAGAGTCAGGTCACAACAGAAGGGGCAGCCTCCCATTCTCCTCAACCCCCAGGGTGTCTCAGGTTGTGTCTGCTTTTAGCATCTATCTAGGCTTTGCTTCTCTTTTTTCTAGCAGTGCACAGGGCTTAAACAGAGTTGCCTCTTGTTGGTTTCCTGATACCTTCTTTTCCTGCAGTCATGTCCACCTGCTCCTAGCCCTGACCTATAACAATGCAGGGGGCTCCAGAACAGAACATCTGGTGCAGACCTTCCTCACTGGCCTCTCCCCTAAGGACATGTCTGTTCAATGTTATGGAAGAGCCCCAACTAGAGAGCAGTATGAACCTCTCTGGTATTCTTTTGGGGAGCTGCGGGATTTTATAAGGGACACCTCATTTTCAACTTCTGTGTTCAGGAAAATCAATAATTCTGAGCATGAGCTGGGCACACACGGATGGTATGTCTGGGTACAAGCACACAGATGTTCACACAAACACTCCCAGAGGGAACTTTTCCTCTTTTCATATCAGAAAGCACAACTTCTAACTGTTGTGGGTTGGAAAGGATTTTCTTGATCTTTATGACATAATGAGATGAGATGATTCAAAAGAAAACCTTTAATCCATTCAAGCAGAGGAAATCCAAGTCTTTCTTTCTTAGGCCAGGAAATATAAAGACCCTCACTGGGCCTAGGAAAAAGGAAAGGACCAGGCCAGAGTCAGAATCACCTGCCACACTTACTCAGGGCACAGATTCAGAGCACTGAGAGCTTGGGGAGAGAAGAATCTATACAACAGTGCTTTCCCATACCAGTTCTTGCTCCCTATACTCATCCTAAGAGGTCTAAAATCTGAACATTTCCTTCCATTTTATAAATCTTTTTCTTCTGATTACTAAATTTATTTTCAGCAGTCATTGCACTCTAGCATGAATTTCTAATGTAAGAGAATTGTTGGATTTGAGATTAAAAATAAAAGGATCCATGCTCATTCTCTACTGCAGCAAAATGTCACCTCACTTCCTGGGACATTGGTGACTATTTAGTTTGAAAGTATGAATCGGTGATCTAAAAACATCTCTAATCACTTGAAATAGGTACATACTGGTTCATTTTCTAAAATATAAGTCAATCTGGAAAGCAGATCTTTCAGAGGCCAAAACAGAGGATTGACCCCAATAGTAATTTTATTGCTCCCCAAATTAGATCTTTCATTCCAATCTAGTTTCTTCCTCTCCCAGAGCACAGTCACTTTAGGTTATGAGATGTTTGAAGTGGACAGATATACAGAAAGAAAAAGTCTACTGCTGTGCAAACCAGGATAGTCCATGTTGTCAAAGTGATTACTATCACCCACCAAGAATTCTTTAAGGATCCTCCAACATTTTAGAAAAAAAACCAAAACCCAGTCACATCCACCTGCAGATACTTCCACCGGATACTTCCCCTAAAGGGAAAGGATGCATTATGCCCAATGGAACTTTGTCCCTATATGTTTTATAACAAAGAGTGGATTTTAATCAAATTGCTTAGCTATTTTTTTTAACGTGACAATCATCATTAAGGCAAATGGGTCTCCCACAGATCTCAGAAGCAAATAGCTAAATATAACCATAATGGTATCCAAGATAAACTTTTTCTAAAGATACTAGAAGTTCTATCTACTTTGCTAGAGTATGAATAAAGACATTGTTTTAAATCAGCTATGTCAGATAATTTAAAATATTTCTAAGTAGGTTTTGGCCTTCCTTTGTTTTTAGCATATGTCAATTTATTTCATGTCATTTTACTCTACATTAAAAAAGCTTTTTAAGTGTCAGTTTTATCATTTGTATTTCCTGCTTTCAATGATTTGTTTTCCAAAGTATCAAAACAATTCCATGACATGGTTAATTAACTAATGCTCCCTCTATTGGCAGTCTGTGGAAAGAAGAGTTTTACATCTACTTTTAAAAGTAAAATTAACAAGAGAAAAATTTACTCTTTTCTAATTTACTAGGCTGTTTCCCACTAACTTTTAAAACAGATCAATTTTGGGCAGCTTCTTGGCAGGAATCATCTTAGAAATCATGGTGGGTGATAATAGTTAACCATCCAAGTCTACATTAAAACTTATAGCAAAATATTTACTTATTGAGTACCACAGGAGCAAATCAAACTTCCATATACTTCATTTACACTAACCCCACTAAATATCACCAAGAATTTATGGAAAAGATCCAAGTCAACCAAATGTCTAAAAATCTATGAAAAGTCAACCTAGACATTACAGGTTATTTCCACTGGAAGATTTCTCTTCGTTTGCTGCACAGTATTTGTAAGTAAGCTGTTGATAGGAAAATTAAATTAAAATGCAAAACAATATGGAGACTAAAACGCTCTCTTCTTTTTTTAAAAGAAAAAATTTTTTAGTTTGGTATTTCTGCTTTGTTTAAAGATTTACCTTTAAGAATGTTCAAATATGCTCAGTAATAAAATCACCTTTGAGCTTTAAGAAATCCTGTATCTGAGTTGAAATCCCACCAGGACACTGACTATAATGGAAAGATCACTAGTTTGATACTGTGAACAGGACCAAGGAGAGAAACCCCAACTAGGAAGAGAGAGTGGCATCTAGGATGATACATAGAGTTGGTGACCTTTTGAGTGGTGGATGTCAACATTTGGGAGATTTCTGGTACTTTCTTTATAACCTTTCCAAAAAGCAAGAGTTAGTAAGTCATCTAAAGGACAATCATCTTATCGTTAGCCCTCTCAACCATGGGGGGGGGGGGGAATAGTCAGGAGGAGATATTTGAAACAAAGGAAGTAATTTTGGCATCAAGGAATCCTGATCTGACCGGGCTTCTCACCACATGCTCTCTGTAGTTATGAAGGGTGAGGAGGCCTGGAAGGGTTTTGGGAACGCCTCCTCCCAGTGACCACAAAAGGAAAGAACCCACTTGTCAAGACCTCCAGAGACTAGTGTTTCATCAAGGAAAAATAAAGTCAAGAGAAATTCTAGAATCATAATATCTCACTGAACTTTTAGAGAAGTAACAAATCTGTTTCTGAAAGATAAAATCCTTCCTATGAAAAAGAACAGAATTCTAGATGGATCAGTTGGGTGAAAAAAAAAAATTCAGTGGAGCAACTTAAGCTTGCTAAAAAAAAAGTCAAAGAAACTACATATCAAAATACAAAGCAGCAGTTCAAATTACAGCAGGGATGGGCTGGCCACAGAGGCCCTCATCAACCCAGGCAATACTTAAAATAATAAAAATTAAGAAAAATTAAAAAAAATATGAAGAAAATATCCTTCCTCTCTTTCAAATATAACTTTAATTGCCTTTTATTCTTTCTATCTGGAAGCAGTATCGCTAACCTTAACAGTCTTGACTTACCAAAAAATATATATATGTGTGTGAAATAAAATAAAAGAGAAGGGATTGGTGGCAGTGTACGCAAAACCAAAATGAAAAAAAAAATTACTTTTAACAATCTCATTTTTTTTTTGTTTTTTTTTTACACAAATACTGTTGTAAATATATTAAAAAAATCAGCATTCTATCTGGTAAACGTCACTTTTGCCCCTCTATAAAATTTTGAATTAAAAAAGCCTCAAGAACTTTTTATTATTCCCCCCACCCTCCATTTCTTTCTTTTTCTCTTCCACAAGAATATATCCTGACACTTTTTTTTGTTTTTTTTTTTTGCAAAGATTGTTGGAAATAATCCTTCTCTTGTACCTAGAAACATAGGTGCAAACATCTGATATCTTTGTTTTATCTGCATTCCTGCCTTTCATGAAAGTCCCTCTTGATTGTGCTGAGGCTGTGGCTCAGCGAAGACACTGAATAAATACGATAGCCACTGTTGCTTGATGCTTGTCCAAGTCTTCCTGGCTTCTGCTGAAAGGGGGGCTATGGAGGAGGTGGGCCGGGGTGTGTGGACCCAAGCAGAATCTGGGGGAGAAGCGTGCCATTCAACTTTCCCACACCACCGAACCCACTGCCCCTTCCCACCCCCACAGCCCTTTTTATGAAATCGGACAACGTGGTAGGTGGAAACAGCAGGGCCTTCCCTCTGGGTTTTCGACCAGAAGTGATATTCCACAGTTTTAACTGGTTACTGTGAAGTCCAAGCGGCCAGAATTGTGAAAATGTCCACTGAAACACTGCAAGCGGTGTACTTAAAGACAGTAGGCCTTTTAGATTTTGTTATATATTTTTGTAGTGCTCTTCACAAGTGAAAAAAAAATTTTTTTTTTTACTTTTTTTAAAAGATTTTTTTGTAAAGAAGGGTTGTATTTAGAGGCCAGTAGCTAGAGATCCAACCAGTGGACCTCTTGAAGCACTACCAGGCCTTAAGGCCACCATCCGAGGGAGGCTGGGAAAACTATTATTCACCCAAGCCTCCGGAAATGTAATGTACCAGCAGGCAAAAAACAGTTCTTCATGTAGTACAAAATGAAACGAAACAAAAACAAAAACAAAGTAAAAACGAAACCAAACAACTCTTAAATTCTAGTGCCATAGCTTTTTTGTTTGTTTCTTTTTGTTGTTGATGTTTTGCTTTGTTCATAAGAAAGAGAGAAAGATACTACTTATCCGTCAGACACATGCATCCTCATGTGGTCGTTGAACTGCTCGATTTGGTCAAACTTTGCTGGACAGACGGAGCAGACATAAGTGGTCCCCTCCGTGCAGGCCACCACGCCTGGGGGGCCAGCTCGGGCACCTGGGGGTGTGCCTGAGGGAGGGGTCCCGTTGCTGGCACTGTGCAGGGCCACGTGTCGCTCCAGGAGGGTCTTGTGGGAGAACTTCTTTTTGCAGATGTAGCACTCATAGGACTTCTCCCCTCGGTGGAGACGCATGTGCACGTTGAGAGAGCTTTTCTGGGTGAAGCGCTTGTTGCAGATACTACACTGGTAGGCCCTCACTCCTGTGTGGGTCACCATGTGCTTGATAAGGTAATCCTTTAAGGAGAAGGAGCGCCAACAGATGCTGCATTGGTGGGGCTTCTCACCTGTCGATGTGGGAAGAGACAGCAAGCAGGACAGAGCCAGACACAGTGAGGGAGGGAGAATGAGAGACAGAAAAACAAGACGACAAAAAACAAAAACAAAAACAAAAATTAAAAAAAATAAAATCCGATTTGTTAATGGATCACCCTTCATTGGAAATATCCAGTCCTTCCTTGCCTCTCATGTTCTGAGAAAACTTCCTTTAAGGTGAAACCAATAGTCTATAGGTTTCCATTTCCCTATGCCAGAAAATGGCTCTTTGGCAAGCTATGATAATCCCCACAAAGTCTTCAGTGATTATTCTGTGGAGAAAAGGGGGTCATGTTCAGTGTCATCTTTAGGGATTTAACTGTATGTTTTCCATTAATATTATCAAATGAGTATGAGAAATAAAGAGCGGGAAGCTGGCTGGAAACACGGGGTTCTCTAGATCCACTCTGAAGCTAAAAACATTGGTCTTAAAGTTAGACTCTTTGGGCACAATTTCCATTTCCAGGATTCTGTTTTGTAAATGCACTCAATTACAGGTCTGGAAAATATTGGTCAACACTGGATTAACTCATTCTGGAGAACTCTTTTATTTTTTTACCTAAAATGTGACTGAAGAGTCACTCGGCTATTCTGTCTCGCCTGCCCTCGCTCGACCCTTGTCAGGTGTGGAGGGTGCAGGTGGTGGACAACACAAGGATTCTGTTCAAGTGCAGGCACCAACACACAGCATACCACCCTGACAGCTCTCCAAATGCCTCTCAGGCACACACTCCAACTTACCTCATTGTACTGGTGTTGACTAAAATACATATGAAATCACTTTGCAGACCACCAAGAGTGGTATGGGAATACTTGCATGGTATTATTACAAGACGATCCTTCCCTCCCTGCACCCTCCCCCCACCATTAAATGGTTCCATATGCTTTTTTGAACTTTAAGATAGTTTTCTCTTTCTTTGCTCTCAGTCTGTTGGCTGAAATCTTTCTTTCTCCTCAGTTTACTGCTTTGCTTTGGTGTTGACTTAGACATCAAATGATCAAGCTTGTTAAAAACAGGTAAGTCAGAATATTGTCACTGAATGACCACTTTAATTATTCTTCTTTATGTAGCCCTCATGGGTCTGGATATATCTTTGGGTAGAGACTTGTTTTTGTTGGTATTCTTTGTGTTCAGCTGGGTTCTGGACAGGTGAGATGAGCTACATTAAGGAGTGTCCATCCCACTCAGCTCAGGGCTGTTACCCTAGGAAGGAACTCAGCTCTGAAAAACCCTTATGCAGCTGATCCCCTACCTGGGCCTAAAACTTTGAAACTCTCTAGGGTAACTTTCAGCAATGGACTCTGTCAGTGTAGGAATTTTTTTTTTTTTAATTTTAATTTACTTCCATTTAAAACACGTGCCTTGACCATGTCTCCATGCTGATGTGTCACGGTAATAATGGCCTTATGCGGAGCCTTTGCTATGAGCCAGGCTCAGTGTTAATGTTCTATGTTCACAATCTGTTTTATCAAACTTTTGCCTTAATCAGTTTTTGCACTGTGCTTGCAAACATGAAAGGATGTGTTTTGAAGGCACATAATTATAAGAAATGGCTAGTTTATTCAGAAATTATGCCATAAATTTCTGAATCAATATCATTATCTTTGAACTTTATTTCTTTCAGTTATTTACAAACATTTTGGCCTAGCTCCCTTTTCATCCCTAAATGAAGAGGTCAGTCTGCATGTGGTGTTTACATATGTACATTTTTTTGCAATGAGAGATAGCCTAAGAGAGACAGACACATATGTTATTTTTAGTTGGAACATTTCTGTCAACTTAAATATGCTTGAAATTCAAGATGGTGTTTGACATCCCACTGCCTTCAGTACACTTTCTAGTGCCCATGATAGGCCAATGTCCCATCATCACTTTAATGGGTATTTGGCAGCTAGTAAGTTGTAACTTTGTCCATGTTAAAGTGCTCTTGTCCGAAAGTTTAACCTTCCTATTTTTTCTCTAGGCAAGGTCACTGATGAAGCCTTCTACTTTCACATGCTTCTAATCTGACTAAAAATTGATTCTTCACAGTTGTCATCTTATCCTCCGTAGCATATATCTCTGTGTTGTTTGTATGACCATAATATTAACTGACTTTATGACGCATGTGACCCAGGGTTTCCTAACTGAGTGTTCTCACTTTTCTGGGTTTATTCTCTCTTCTGTGAGTGAGGAGTGGGGCCAAGCACTTGTCATGGTCCTTTGCAGACATACTGGCCTTCTGCCCACTTGATCCACAATGCTCTTGCTCCCCCAGGACTCTAGTCCAGGCCTCATCAGTACATGACCTGAGGGCAACCTCCTTTAAATCACTCAATGCTTCAGAAGTCCCACATTTTAAATAGGACAAAGGATCCTGCTCCCTTCTCTGCTGCAGAAAAATAGTATAGTTAATGAACAAAAATGTTTGCAAAGCACTGGGGGGTGCCACAAAGGAAAATACTCTAACAATTAAGGAGACATGCTGGTGGAGTTCAGGAACTATCTTCTCAAATGGGGTGCATTTCAGGTTAGTCAGGTGTCCACACTTTTCATTTCTGTATGTATGGATTTGAAAAAAAAAAAAATTCAGTTGAAAAGTTAGTATATTTCCTCTTCATTATTTATTTTCCTGCATATTGTGCAATGATTCAAAAATGACTTTCAAAATTTACGTGAAATGCATGTTGGTCTCTGATTATTGTCATCAAGGTGGAGAAATGAAAAGGGCAGATGAGTGGCAGGCTTTCCAGGAGCCTTGGCCAGGAAAGGCAAGTCCTATTTATTAGAAAGAAACACAAAGTACTTAGCAGGCTCTAGAATCATAGCATGCTAGAATCATAGCATGTGCACTACGACTCCTTCACTTTAAAAATGACCCATGGATGTGGAAGTCAGCGATATAGAGATGTGGGAGTCAGAGATAAACTCTGCTGGCCTGGTTGAGTGACTTAACCATGTCACTTTACCTCTCTAAATCCTTAGTTTCCTTATTTGTAACTTGAGAATGATAGTCAGTCCCGGTCTTGAAAATTAAAGAAAAAACACAGACAACAAAACACAGGATCCCTTTAAAAGAAACATTAAACCGCTCCCCCTTCAGCACAAAGGAACTGACAAATAAAGCCAAATGAGAAATGCTTTGCCAGTCATGGATGAAGGGTAAAACTGATAATCAATAAAGCAAAGACTGGTGTTGCAGCTATGTAATTCAGAGTTAGGAGCATAGTCTACGTTACACGTGCTAATGAAAACTAATGGTTCTGTGACTCGCATGCCTACAAATAGACAGAGGATTTCTTAGCAAAGTAGCAACTGAGCGCTGGAGGCTAAGAAACCAGACAGTGAGTGTTGAAATGGAAGGGAGGAGAGTGGTTCACAGTTCCAGTGGGAGGAGTGGAACGTGCAGATGTTCTTCTTCATTTTTTGCTGCCTAATCTTTAAAGAGTCGCTTTTCCATTCCTTTTCCAGAACCAGCAATGACACTCACTCTATCGTGACTGATAAGTAAAAAATAGCGGGGAAGAAAGATACTGTGAGGTTATTAGCTATAGAGGGCTCTGCACACAGTGTGAGTGAAAGATACCCTAATAGATCATGACACCCCAATTTTGATTAGTGATCTTTATATTGGGGGCTTAGCAATACCTTATTTATTCTGTGGATTCTTTTTCATTCTACCCAAGCTGCTTCTGGGCTAAAAAAGGACAGTGAATGTTTTTCTCAGGGCATGTTTGAGCAGCACTCTTCCTACCTCTCCCTCCCATTTGCTCAGATTTTCCATCATCCACAACAGCCTCCTCCTTCAGGAAAGCATAGTGAGGGGTCAGAAAGCTAACACCATGTGCTTGGTGTGAAGGCAGGCAGCAGGCAGGGAGAAGGTAGTATGGGACAGAAGAGATATCTATTGCCAGGAAAGAAGAAGCAGGGCTTAGAATTCGGTCCTCAGAATGGAGAAATGCAGATTGGGACAGAAAAGGGGAAAGGTTCAGTAACAGCAATGGAAGTGTAATGGTGTGGTCGCCAGGAAAAGGGGAGGTTCCAGGTTCCCTGCACCACAGGGGTTTATTAGAGGGTCACTGGCCACAAAACTTGCTGTCTTCCACAGCAGTCTAATTAAAAGTGGCCTCTCCACCTGACACATGGTGGGCTTGACTGCTCACCAGCCCTCCTTTCTAGTTGCTGGGGTGAGACCTTGGTGCCAGCTTGAGCTGTGACGCTTTCCAGGGGATGCATGTATAGTCTGTTAGGAATGCACTGGATTCACAAAATATCTGTGGCTTCAGTAACAACTAAAATGTTTTGGTGTGAAGATGAATCTAGGGATCTCAAAGATCTTCATTCATATTACTTGACTTCCCTTACAACTTTATGAGTGAGGTAAAAACACCCCCAGAAAAGAGATGTAGCAATGTTCGGAAGGTCATCCAACAAGTCAGTAGTTATTGAGCATGTTACCGCTCCACCAGATTATCTCCTTTTTCTCTATGATTATTCTGCAAAATGCATGATGCCGCGATTATACATTACATATATGTTCCTGAAAGGTGCAGATAATTTTACAGCATGTGTTTAAATGCATTTCACATTCATTATATAATCTGATTTTCAAAGCAATCATGTAAAGTAAGTATGATTGAGCTCTTTATCTTCTGTGACAACAACCAAGAACCTAATTGTATGTCTGTCACCTAAACTCAGTCAGAAAAGCTACAGCACTTGCTTTCTAACCTCAAAGTTCCACAGCTGAGCTTTACTTGAGAATTATCACATTATCATGATCTCACTATTACTACTCTATTTATGACTGTTTTGTCACTATTATTTCTATATCTGTTTGCATCAAACCCATAGCCAAAATAGCTGGGCTTCTCAAAGTAACAAACAAAATTAGCATATGTGCAGGACCCCAATCAGCTAAAAACAGTCACCAACAAAGGGTTGTTGATAGCCTGAAAAAAGGACTAAACATCTACCATTTTTTTGGGTGAA